AAAAGAGATCTCTTGCTAGTTTTATCATTCTATACAATACAGAGGTAAATTTTACCTAGCCAGATCAAGGAAATTTCAGCAAAACTGCTGACATTGATAATATTATGTGCAATGAGATGTGCGTACACACACAATTCTACCAAGCTGATACAATAATCATGTAGCTATTATAATCAGACTAATCACAGCCAATGACAAACTGAGAAGCACCTCACCTTCTGTCACTTTTTGCAAAATTGCATGAGCTCAAATTCCTGAACTTTCAACAGATTTAAGTAAACTGTAAGGAATAATCACAAAGACAGACTCACAAATAGATGCAAAACTCATTTGTGGTAAAGTGAGGGATCAGTGCACCAGCAGAATTTGTTTACAAATTGTAAACACCTAGCCGTGCAATTAGTGTTTTAGCCTTATTTAGAGCCAAAACTTTTGATAACTGATGGCTAAGCAAAACATTAACAGCCATACAAATAACATGCAAACAGTATTAAAGCTAGAATGGGAGCTTTTTAATCAAGTACTGTAAATGCAATAGAGAAAAGTTATGTTCCCATCTCAGAAAATTATACACAATGTAGATTCACCAGAACTTTATACAATATGTAACCAACAATGTCACTCATGTCACTCACCAAAAACGAGATAAAAATGTCACCTACTATAAATTAATATGTTTCACAGTCTGCTAGTATAACTCCAGTCTAGCCACTTAAAAATTAATATACACTATAACTATTGCTCTCTGTCTAGCAATGTTTTGGGGGCAATCAGCAAGAGCAAGATCATTACCACTATAAGCCAAAACCTGATGTCTTACTAGCTAATGATTACAGAAAGTGGGATGATCATTTACACAGCACATCAGAAAACACTTTACCACTAAAAAGCAGGTTAAAATGAATAGCTGGAAAGCAGATAACGATCAATGATCATGATATGAACCTACAATGAGCTGAACGACCACGAAAAAAAAAAATCTCACATCTAACAAATTCTGATTGAAATTGGTAATACATTTTACATCAGTAAAATTCATGGCAGGAATATATTCACAAAATTACTGTGAAGATTTAGTTTGATGCTAGTGAAGCCATGGCACGTATGAGGGCTGCATTTTCATCTCTCAATCTTTCTCTTTCTGCTGTCATCTCCCGATGCAATTGGGAAATTCTTTGTTCTAGAACACTTATTTTGTGATCCCTATCTTCAAGGAGACATAACAACCTGCGGTTTTCTTCCTTGGCGCGCTCTAAAAGCTAAAACAGAAAACAACAGTTCATTTCGTTTGTACAAGAAAGACTTAATTGACAAAATAATTTTCACTTACCTCCTCAGAGTTTTCGCCCGTTGGTGTGCCCGGCCTGCGACATTGTTGAGGGACACTACTAACTGTAGAGTCAGACTGATTGAGACTGTCAAGATCTTGGTTATCTTCATCATCTGCCTCCAGATCTGAAGGGCTGTAATTAAATTTTGTTTTTTTAAATACCTACACAATACTGGAGACTGGAGTAAGAAATAAAAAATTGGAGAACACTTTGAGGAGCAACAGGAAACTTAGAATTATGTACAGATAGCCATGCTGAAGTTTACACCCAATTTATGGTTTACATCCAATTCATAGATCAGAGGAAATTCTAATTAGGTAAGATGCAAGAAGGAAATAAAATAACAGAATACCGAAGGGCCTGTTCACAAATTACGTCCAATTTTTAGTGGGGGTGGGGGAGCGGGGTAGTCAAATTTGTGACCAGTTGTGACAAAAGCAGTAGTGGGGGGTCAGGGACCCTGTGACGTCACACAGTTACTCACTCTGCACGTTGATAAATCAATCACCATTTTCGAAAGTTGCGCGCCATTTGGTGAGTCAATATGCGAAGATATGAATCCTAGAGGGGGGTGGGGTGAGTCAAAATCATGATTAACTGTAACAATGGGGGACGCAAGGTCGAAAAATGGTCGAAAATGGTGTGATGTAATTTGTGAGCGGCCCCTAAACGTTTGTTTCAAATTCTTAAGAGAATAATTTTATGCAGAAAGAAGTATGTAGTCAAAGCCACATTTGCATAGGAAAAATTGATTATACTACATGTTCCATAGGGTCAGGTTATTTGCATTCAGTTAAATGGACAAGAAAGGTGGTTCATTATATGAATTTTTATGCATTCCATGCACATTGATTCACTCTTGATTAAAATCCAAATATTCCTTTGCCAACACACTTCATGCAGAAACAACTACACAAAATTTTGAGTCTCACTTGAAAACTGACAGCAGTGGAATATCAGAATGCATCAACAAACATTGGTTGTTAAAACCCATAGTGAGGGGACTGATACATCTGTGGGCAACATGGATAGAAGCTTAAACCAAGAGTGACTTAACAAATGTTTTTTCCCTTCGTAAAAGCATACAAAAAAAATTCATCCACATCTTGATCTTAAGAGCAATTTGTTTGTCGTAATAATAATACAGATATAAATGGAAAACAGTTGTGTCCTATATTATTCATATTTTAAGTTTAAGTAAGGAAAATTTAATAATAAATGTTACATATTTACAGATTCAATAATTAAGTTTTGAATAGACTTACCTTTTACTTCTCCTCTGTGAGTAAACCTTTGAAGTCCCTCGTTCCTCAGGGACAGAATCATGAGCCAAATGTTCATTTTGAATAGTGTTGCGCCTTGTTTCAGCTGTCATTGATAGCACATCACCATCATCCTCACCAGTGCTTCCTCCAGTGGACTGCAGAATAAAAGATATTATACAAAAAAAGGCAAAACATGTTGGAAAAGCACAAATACATAATTTGATTATTTGCTACCTCAGTTGAGGGCAAGTGCACAACTCCAGTACTCCTGCGCTTCTCTCGAAGTTTCCGTCTGTCACGGGGCTGCTTTCCTTTGGTCAAGTGATTAGGCCTTCAAAAAGGGAACAAATTAAGCTTAAGCAACATGATTTAAGATTTAAAAATGGGATTTGATTTGTGAGGGGCTAATCTTACCTGTTAAGATGATCAGCAAGTGGTTGTCTGACAGGGACATTTCGATTGGTCCGCTTTTCTTTGGTTCTACTGAGAGGTTTGGGGCTGGCATCATGCTCCCCACAGTTCTGGCCTCCAATATTGAGAGATTCGGATACTTTCATTTCTCCTAGACTATCATCAATCTCACCTGAAAAAAATGAAATAATGATGAATGCTTAACTAATGACAAACTAATTCTCACTGGGAGGTTAACATATCATAGTAATTTGTAAACGGACCAATTCTAGATGTGGGGTTGACTGTTCTTGCCCGTGCTGTTCTAATCCTTGACCGCCGTGATGACAACTCAAAATCATTCTCAACATCCTCTTGACTAACGGAGCTGGATGCCATTGTAGCTTATGAAAACTCTGAAATTATGGAAGTGGATCATTAAATAGAAGTGTGACAAGACTAGATTCATCCTAGGAAAACAAAGGTGAACAAGAAATCTCTCAATCCAAAATTAAGGCTGGTCATGCACATTATTTCATAATAAGATGAAAAGAGCAAATTGTAGTACAAAACCCATTTAGTCGTACACCACAGTCCTAGATGAATCGCTAGTTGACTAAAAAGGCATACTCAATATTTCCCAGAAAGCAAACAAATCACCCTTTGTGGCCTAAGGCAGGGAGAGTGGCACAAAGCAGAACAAAAGGGCTCCCATAAATATAGCGAACACAATACAAGTAAACGCAAATCGGTAGCATAGGTCATTCAGTACAAACCTCTAATTAAACGAGTGAATGCCAAAGATCACAAATCAAAGTGCATTGCGCAAGGAAAAGACACTTTACAGATGCCACGGTACTGCTTGCAAACAAGACACCCTTCTAGTTCTTGTTGTTTTCTTTCGATTATTCGGCAGCTCTTTTTATTCTAAACCAGATATCTTTGGGAAGAGAATTTTATATACCAGTTTTGATGAAAACTTCACAATCCGCAAGCATGCAGGTCTGTGTTGTGTCTGTTTAATTTTTCATACTTACTTACGTAACCTAGCAGCAGACTTCCTTACGTTTTGTTGTGAAAGTTGACTGGCTCAGACTGGACTGTGTCAATATTCTTGACTTCTTGACAAGTAAGTACTAAAGATTTGTCTACTAAAATTTTATCCAATTTAACGGGCCTATACGCTTCGTGTTACTCTTCAAATTTGTTCAAAGTCCTGTTCTGAACTTCTCCTGTATTTTGATTAATCTTGTCGCTATATACTTTTGAGGTTATTCGTCTTTCTAGTACTATTCTGTTTTCTTCTATTTATCTGTATGTGGTTACTTCCACCATCCATAACAATTGGCATCCACAATGTCAAATTCAATGTTATTTTTATATTCTCCTCTGCAGGATGGGTAAACACGAGGTTGGGACACCCAAGTACATAGCAAACAAAATCAAGGCGAAAGGTCTACAAAAACTAAGATGGTACTGTCAGATGTGTCAAAAACAGTGCCGAGATGAAAATGGTTTTAAATGCCACATGACATCAGAATCTCATCAAAGACAACTATTATTGTTCGCTGATAACGCTTCTAAGTACCTGAGTGAATTTTCTAAGTAAGTATGTGGATTTTGGTTACTGTAGATGGTGATTATTTCATCTTTTATTGTTTTACATAAAGTTTCATCCTGATGCAATGATAATGTAATGTTTGATTTGTTTTAGGGAGTTTGCTGATGGTTACCTGGAACTGTTAAGGCGCCAATTTGGAACTAAACGAGTCCCCGCAAATCGAGTTTATCAGGATTACATTGCTTGGAGAGAACACATACACATGAATGCTACAGAATGGGAAACGTTGACTGAATTTGTTAAGTACCTGGGAAGAGAGGGTAAATGTGTTGTTGACGAAACTGAAAAAGGGTGGTTTGTCACATACATTGACAGAGACCCTGCCACAATCGCACTACAGGAAGCGTTAGCAAAGAAGGAGAAAATGGATCGTGATGACCAAGACAGAATGATGCAATTTTTAGAAAAGCAGGTATGATTTGAACTTTACATTTCAATGAGATGTTATTGGGATGATAACTTTAATAATTTGAAGTGTATTTGCAGATTGAGCGAGGTAAAGGAGTAGGTTCGTCTCATGACCATGTTGCAACTGACTTAGTGAGGTCCAATGAATCTGAACAAATCAAGCTTAACCTTGCTCTAAAGAAGAAAGAAGAAGATGAGAATGCGAAACGATTAGCACCCACTGAATTCAAATTACCCTCTACAAAGAAATATTTTTCAAGTAGTGCCAGCACTTCTGGAAGCATTCGGGAAAAAGGTGAAAAACGGAAAGCATCAGCACTAGATGATATTATTAAGGAAGAGGAAAATAGAAAAGAAAATGCTCATCGAAAACCCAACTGGCTTACTGAGGTAACTACTTGTTTACTGTACTTCAGTGATTAAATTCCTGAAGAGGTAGCTGTAAAACATTAACCTTGGATTTCATTCTTCCTAGAATATTGTTGTAAAAGTAATGACAAAGTCTCTAGGAGAAAAGTACTACAAGCAAAAGGGGGTTGTTGTAGCTCTAAAGGACAAATTCTCTGCTGTTGTCCGTTTATTTGACTTGAATGTGAAACTGAAGCTTGATCAGGCTCATTTAGAGACAGTTATTCCTGCCATAGGTAAGTTGACATGATTTTTAATATCTCTACATAGGATGTTTCAGGAGAGAATTTTATTACCTCTTAATCACTTGCAGGCCGCCAAGTTTTGATTGTTAATGGAGCATATAGAGGAAATACAGCCACACTTGAAAAGCTGGATACTGACAAGTTTTGTGCTACTGTAAAAATTGATTCTGTAAGTCTCTGTTTTTGTCAATGCCAATATTTTCATTCTAGAACAATGATGATGATCACATTAGTTACTAACATGTAATTATTTGTTTTTCTGTTTTTGTGTAGGGTCCATTAAATGGAAGAGTAATACCAAGTATAGAGTATGAAGATATCTCCAAGCTGCATTCTGATTAGTCAATGGATTTTCTCTCGATTCAACATACTGTGACTATTTCTCTAAACTTCCAAATTCCATAGCTGCATTTCTTCACTGTGGTGAAACTGCTGCAGTGCTCTCCAACCGTATAATTGTGCAGAACACTTCATTAATATTACAACTTCATTTACATTTCTGTTTGT